CTGCGTTGTCATGAAGAAGGATATCTGCTGGACCTTTAAACCATCTAACAGGAAGTTTCTTATCACTGCTGCAGCCTCCTGCAGATAAACTATCCGTTTCAAACAGAACTCGTGACTCTTGTGCCCTTTTTAAAATTCATGTATGTTCTCATAAGCAGGAAAGTGAGTGTGAGTTTTGAAAACCAAAATACTGGGTCATGTGTAAAACTGAGCCACATGGCACATCCTCGTGGCAGACTGAGGCAGCCATCTGTTAGCACCAGAAGTCCTTCAATTCGTGGCCAGTTTCACCATGCGGCAAAGTACGGTAGCTTGTTCTCGCCAAGCACAAAGTGATGTTTGTTTGCAGTTTAATCCTTGGCTAAGTAAATGGAAGGGGAACCATCTTTGTGTCCTCTGATGCCCAACTCAAATTAAAGGTCATCTGTCTGTCATGTGGTCACATAAAAAAAAAAAAAAATGATAGAGGGGGAGGCACTGCTGGGAACTGCCTTACTGTCTGGTATGCCATTCACACATGACCATATGTTGCTTACTGAAAGAAATCTTTCAGTAAGTCAAAGAGGATGTTATTAGTTTCCTTAAATACTTTATAAATCAGTCTAAAATATTTATATTGAAGGTAAGAAAAAAATGTGTTTGTTACATGTATTCATCTGCTGCTTATACTAATGTGATAGAGTAATGTAAAGTATCATGTAACTGTGGACTGTGGAATAAAGGGATATTTATGTATTTTTTGTCTAATAAACAATGAAAAATTGTTTATATGAAAAGTGTGGAGGTTTCCCTTCGAGCAAGAAAACGATCCTAAACAGGTATTCAGTGCTGCAATCAAATGTTCCACATCAGACCTCTGTAAACTTCACAATTCAAACTTATTTGGTGCATTACATTACCCCCTTTTTTTTATAAGATAACCATTAGATATTTGGTAAATATCTATCGCAGGAGATTTGTTGTTGTTGAAGAAATGTGCCATTTCAGATTTTAGCTTTTAAAGTGAAGGAAAAATTAAGAAGTTAAGAGGAATTTCAGTGTGTTTCTGAATTTTCTAGAAAATTAGGAAAATAAGCCTCAGAATAAAAATATATTTTTTTATTTGTATGATTCTAAGGGTCACATTTATTGAAACTCACAACAGAATCAGAAAAAAGTCACCGTAGTATTTTGTGTTCTGAATAATTTATCTTTTAGGTCAATAAACATTTGCATGAAATAAAAATAATTCTGTCTGAGTTTCTTTCAAATCTGGGTTTAAATATAAAACATATACAGGCGAGAAAATATGACATTTAGTAGTCCAGATTTGTGTCTGCTGCTCCATCAGTGGTGTAAGGTAGGTACACCTCACACCCTTGGACCGGTCACCAGTCAACGCAAGTTTATTTCCACTCACACTTAAGAGAAGGTTAGGGTCAACAGTTACTCTAACTGTCATGTTTTTGGACTGTGGGAGAATGCCAGAGAAACCAAAACAACCCATGTTTTATGTTTGCAGCCAAACTCTATGCAAAATGCATCCCTAGGCCACCAATCATACCAAGGTCCTTCTTGCTGAAGGGCAAGACTGCCACAAACTGTGTAGCCTGTGTGTTGATTGTCTTACATCTACATTTGTTTTGTCCTGAAGCCTAATGAGGAGCACTGCTAGTGAGCTTGAAATACTTCTTACTTGTTTATTATAGCAGCTTTAATTTACCATGGTAGTAGTTATTAGGGAGATGAAAAGATTTGCAGACATGTTTTATGGTTAAGGCCATAGGGAGTTTGTAACTGTAGTTCTAAAAAGGGGTAAATATTTGCTTAGTTTTAAACAATTTTAAGTAAATATTTAATTTTTTCACATTGCTGCATACTGAGGTGTACTCTGTACGATTGTCCCTCTATCATTCGATATGCATGACTTCATGTTTTCCTTTAAATGCTGGTAAAAATAGATAAACCCTCTGGAGTTGCATTAAAAGAAAACAATTACTGTTATTCATGGGAATCAATGAATAGCTTTCAGTGGAATCTGAGATTTCTGTGTATTGTGGTCTTACTTCTCTATAGGCCATTATGGCGGGGCAGTCTAGAGACAGTACTTCAGTGTTTTCAGCACCAGAAGTGGGATGGAGCGTCCTGATACAATATTCTGCCTGTTCAAGCTTGATCTGCAGTTCTTCAACTCTCTCAGTCAAAAGTGTCCCACTTCCTGGCGGTGTATTAATGGCAACAAAAACAACATACATTTGGTTCCACTTAGACAACAATCCAGGGTTACATATTTAAAGTTGAAACCAGATAGTTGTGTGAAATTAATTAAAAGACCTAACATGTTAATTTCTTACTGTATGAGTAAAATTATTTATGTTATCTAGAACTATGACACCTTCCTCCAGAACAAGAGGTCTTAAGTTTTGAAAGCCTCTCCTTTCCTTATTTCATATTTAAAAAATGGTGAAACAAGGTAGTTATAACTTCATGAGGCCATTGCATATGTGTCCATGACATTTATCTCTAGAAACCACGAACTGTCTTCTTCCTGAAAAGCATGATAGCTAACGATTGTTATGCTGATAAAAATTGTACGTAACCTTTTAAAGAAATAAACACTGGAATTTTTTATACATTTGCTCATTGTTAACAAGGATGAACAAGACTTTTGGAGGTCCATAGCGCTTTTGCTGATTTCCTTATTTTAGTTTTTCAGCAGTGTATTCATGGTATGCTTAGAGCACATTTAGGCATCCATTTATCAAAAGATCATCATCTAGAAATGATGTTTGAAACCAAAGTGAGCAAGAACAAATAAATATTTGGTCTAATTTAAGGCAGCTCTTTGAAGGAACAAAGGTAATGTGTATTTTATAAAACCTCAGTGGGTGTCTGGTTTGAACTGCATCACATATCGTGTCATTTAGAACTGGAAGTCAGTGGAACAAAATGTATCTGTACAGCTATTATTAAGAAGCAACATAAATAGGATTAAAAATAATTAGAAAGGAAACTTGGGAGCAGCTTTTCCATTAATTTATTCTGTTGTATGTAAATGGTGATAAAGATGAGCATCTCTCTGTCTTGTCATTCACTGTCAAGAATGGCTGATATTAGGAAGCATTAAAAAGAGGATTCCTGAGATCGGCATGTGTGCTCTTATGGATAGTCCAGCAGCTTCCAAACATAAAATTTTTATGGAAACATAGCCCCCCAGGGCCTCCTTCTAGGGATTTTACACAACAATAACATCACTGGAAGCTGGGGAAAGGTTGTGAAAACACCCTGCTCTTGGCACGGTTTAGTAACACAGTTTTAGTGAGTCTAATGGTTGAATAAATTATTCATAAAAGCCGGTTCCACTGTCCTATTTTTACCATTAAAAAAAATCTACCTCTGCCTGATCCCCCCCCAGTCAATTGATCTAGAAAGTGCTCTAGCACAGGCAGAATTAAAATGAATGAAGTTGGTTACATAACACTGGTGGCTTACTGCGAACCTATAGCATGCGCCTTCTCAAAGTGCAAATGCCACAATTTCAAAGGTGGCTCATATCTGCAGTGTTGTTAACAGCAGGCATGAGTCATCAAGAAGGTCTTACGTAAGGGATTCACTTCTCCACCCAACTTGCAGCTATAGTGCACCACACCCCAGATTCATTCACACTCTGCTCTACCACTGCCCAGCCTCTCATTGATGGTGCAGAGTGTGTCTGAGCTGCAGAGCCAATAATGAACTCAACAAGCTGGCTGTCTAATCTGGGTGAGGATATCAACCCCATTAACGTTCTTGCTGGACACTTTGCCCTCATGTTATCACTTAATCGAATGAATTAGTGAACTAAGAATGACTTGAAGACTTTTTATGCATTCGTAGAGATAATGTAAATGAGTCATGGTGAGAGATTTAACATGTGGAATTGCATCAAAAGGATTTTGGTTCAGAGCAGGTTTGTATGGTTGACCATTGTCAGTGAAGCAGAGAAACAAATAGGGAGGTAGTGGTATCTTTTGGATGTTGTCATCAGTCAGAGCTGACGTCAGCTTCTTGCACAGAGTTAATCCCTTTATAAATCCTTATGAAGGTATGTTTAGAAAAGAAAGCAAATAGTAACATTAGAAAATCCATGAATAAATGAGGTCATTCAGACTTTTTGAAAGATTCTGAATAGAATTACAAAGAAAAAAATATATTATTCAAATGATACTTATTTATTTTTTATTCATTTTAATTCATAACGCAAACAGGGCAGGCTGTTTTCTGTTTGGAAAGAGTTTCCTACTTTAAAGCAGTCTATTTTCCTCAGTTTACTGCAAAACAAGCAAACAACAAAGCCTAAGACTATGATGTCCTGCTGACATCAAGTGGACATTGTGATAACTGCATGATTCCTGGGCTCCTGTCCAATCAAAATAAGTCAGATAGGTTGTTTGCACAATTTAGCGACCATGATGCCTCAGGATTTCCCTTTCTTGAAATGTCTACAGATATGGAGATTTCATCCAAATAAATTAGCTGATTGTTGAAATGTATTTATCACTCTGGTCAAATTTCTACAGGACATGCTTACATTTCTGCTGATTATGAAGCTATTTTTTGTTATCTCTCTGTAGTCAACAGCTTACTTTTTAAGGACAAAGGCATTTGACTGTCAACTGGTGGCGCTGATCCTCTGACATGTGCACTAACATGATTAGACATAAATAGCTTCTCTGTCAACAGGCTGTGTAACTGGATTCAACCACAGGAATAGTTCACATGCTGAAAGATAAGATCCAACAGAGTATATCAAATATGTAGATGAGTTAAAATTTGCTAAAAGAATTTGATTCCTAAAAAAAAATAGATTATATAAATGTAACCCTTCAAAATAGACATGAGCAAAAAGATGTGCCTTTCTGTTATTCTGATTAGAGCTGAATAAAATCTTCCAGCTTAATTTACAAAGTCTTATTCCTCTGAGAACTCTGTTGTAACACCTATAAGGAATTAGAAATAAAAAGTCAGACAAATTTATAGCATTTACAGAGGCATATAGATCTTTTCCAATTTTATTACATGAAAACACATCAACCTTTTGCGCAGATCCATGCAGTCAAACTTTAAACACGAGAACAGAATCAAACATCCGGATGGGACTTTGGACACGCAGAAATGTATGCAATTTGTACTATAAGTAATAGTATACACATTAACTGGATCCAGATCATTTCCTGGATAAAATATTCTTCTAACAAAACTTAACTTTGTGTTTATTTACATAGTAAGGTTTTCGTAAGATTATATTAACCTGGAAAATAATACAGAAACCTAATATAAACCAGTTAAAAGTGAAGTAAGATTTGGTCTCAACAAAAAAAAAATTTAAGCAATTTAGACACATTTACACAGATTCAATGTTCTGAAAGTCACAAATTGCGTCTTCAACAAAGCAAGATATGATAGAAAATACAAAATAAATAATCAGATACATTATTTGCGAAGGTGTCCCATTGTTTCCATCAGCTGAAGCCAAACAAGCATCCAATTTTCCACCGATTACCGTGGAGCCACAGGGACATTAAAATGACTCTGGATCATCTCCTGTTCAACGTTACTCCACTCCTTTCATGAACTCCAAGAATTCTGTAAAATATGAAAGCCCTGTTTAGAAAACAGCTCATATACAGTCGATTGAAGATAGATAAATAACTGGTCATAAACTCAGTAGCTCAAAGTGAGAAGGACTATAAGATAATGAATTTTCTGTCTATTATGCTTTGAAAGGAAAGCATTTTTTCACAGATCTTTTTTTTTTTGCCTCATTTAGTCAAATTAATTGCAGTTCTCTAACCATATAACTACAATACAATGACTCAGTGACTTTAAAGGGGAATTGTAAAGATATGACACAGGGAAATAAATCATGATCATGAGATATACTCTAGTACTTCATAATAGGGGGGGGGGGCTTATAGGACCTGAATTGAAGACGTTTGAGCCTTGAGCTGATATGAATACAGAGCTTTGTTCATTTAGATTTAAAAATGTTTAACACAGAAAACACCCAGTTTTCTTAATGCCACCTAAACTATTCAAACAAAGTAGCAGACAATCCAATGGTGTAATATTGCTTTCAAGACAAAGATTTTGGCTACTTTCAGTGGCATTTCTGTCATTGCATTTATTTGCTTTTAGGAGGTTAAACACCTCACCGTCGTAATCAATTTTGCCATCGTTGTTCTTATCCCCGTCTTTCATCAGCTCTTCGATGTCATCCTCAGTGATTGCCTCTCCTGTAGATTCTAGCATTATTTTCAGCTCATCCAAGTCAATATAACCATCAGCATTTCTGAAAAATCAAAACAGTGTGGTTTAGCTTAGGTCTAAAGAAAATCTGTAAAGAGCATTAGAGAAAAAAAATACTCATGTATGCTATCATATATAGTGTTATAATTCAGTGAAACCACTGCTGATGGGTTAAGGAACTGCATGTTTTTTCTCTGATGCTCAGACGAGGTGTCTGGCATACATGCTAGTGGGTGTTAGAAATACTCAGAGCTGTCAAAAATGATTAAAGTGCAAACTAAATGCTGTTCTCTACAGAGCTACTTGGCATTTTGTCAGAGCTCATACTTTGCAAATTAGGAGCACACTGTTAAAACCACACCAAAGACCGAATTTATAAGAAGACTGGTAGTTCTGAGATGAACGGATTTGTCTATTTCATCATTCAAAGATTTTTTTTTTTTAATAAACTTATTTTAGTGAATTCATTCTTTTTTTTTATAGTAGTAGGGTTTAAGAATTAAAACATACTTGTCAAACATCCTAAAGAGGTCTGCAAGCTCTTCCTCTGTCTTCCCTTTGCTGTCGTCTTTCATGCATCTCACCATCATGACCAAGAACTCATCAAAGTCAACTGTGCCGCTCCCTGCATACAGACATTTCACAGTAATATTCCAAAGCTGATTTTTAATTCAACTGAACAAAAACACTGAAAACAAATACATCTATATGCAGTTAATGGATTTTAAAGGTATTCATATTTTACAGACCTGTAGTTCATGATAAATGATGACAAATTTAAATGTCATAGTTACTTTTTATATCAGGGATTGCCAAAATGTAAACAATATACTAAACCTTTCTAAATCAAATCCTAATGTTTCCTTCTGTCATTAAACATTACATCAAATGGACAATTTCAAGATGACTTATGCATTTCATACACAGCTCCCTTTTAATCCAGTCTGACACAGCCCAATCTCCTTACAACGGCTGACTAACATTTGACATTAAATATAGCGGATATCACTTGTTTGCTAATCTGTGAAAAGGTTAACCATTTAGTTGCCTATTTATATTTACCATCTTCATCCACCTCATCTATCATCTCCTGCAGTTCCTCTGGTGTAGGGTTCTGACCGAGCATCCTCATAACCTTCCCTAGCTCTTTGGTGCTGATGCAGCCATCCTCTGCGTCTTGCACGAAGATGTCGAAGGCAGCCTTGAACTCTGCAACAAAAGAGCATACATTTTTAGTTGTTTTAAATCTTTCATTATGGGGCATAGTTTTGCATCTAATCATGCTTGCCTTAACAAGCTATTACTAATTTGGGAATTATACATTTGTCTCGTTCTCAAACGGCCACCTAAACGTGGTGGGTTTCAGTGAAAAAAAAAAACGGGTTTCAGTGCTTGGATGATCCAAGGGCTATGCAAGGGTATTCCAAGGCAAACAGGCTCTGGGTGACCGTTCGGAGAAAGAGTGGTTTAAAAAGCCTTAATGAAGACTATGAAATAGAGGCACATGTCGTCACTCTGTATGGTGGAGCTGGGGTTCTGGAGCTTGGCCTCAATGATCAGTTTCCTTCTCGCAACCCAGCTGGGCCAAGCCTAGAGGAGTGGGGCAAGGCCATCCCCAGTAGACCAACCAACTGCAGGGGGATACATGAGGGTCGCTGCTAAGAGAATTGGACAGCAATCAGAGGTGGGGGTGGATGCAGATGCTTAAATTAGCTCTGGGAAAGTAAAATGTGTTGGAGTGTACCCTGGTGGATCGCATCCATTTGCCTTCTTTTTACAGGGAGGGTCTTACTGTTGTTGCAACCTATGAGTCTGAAAGACAGATTGGAGTACCAGGCCTTCTTAGCATTCATGGCAGGGGAGTTGGAAAGCTCCCATCCCTGAGATCCCATATTTCTTCTAGGGGAAATTCCAAGCCCATATGTGAAACCAAATGGAGCTTGATTTGGAGAAACAGACCCACAGCTCTCAACCAGTGTTGCTTCATTATTTGACTTCTGTGCAAGTCATAAATTGTCCCTGGTGAACACCATGTTCAACAATATGGATGTCTATCGGTACAGTTGGCAACAGGATACCCTAGGCCAGAGGTCGATGAACAACTTTATAGTCGGATTTTTGAAACGTCAGCTGCATGTCTTAGACATTCAGGGGTAAAAGAGAGCCACAGGTGTCTACCAATCATCACCTGGTGATGAGCTGGATATGCTGGAACTGGAGGGCACCAGACAGACTGGTTGGCCTGTGGGACTCCTGAGGCAGCAAACAGGTAGGGTTAGGGTTGAAGCCAAGCATGTAAGAATGGTCAAAGCGGCAAAAACTGGAGGAATATGAAGTGACCCTGTAGAAAGCACCCTCACATTTGAAAGCAGTGCTCTTCTTTATTTGGTGTGGGGAGCTACTGACCCTGAAGGAGGAATCAATAGATGGTGCAAGGAATACTTTGAGGGTCTCCTGAACCCAGCAAAAGGCCTTCCGTGCTAGAAGATACAGCAAGATTTGTTCACCACCCAGGCTGACGCTGCCAAGGTGGTCAAGTATCTTGGGGCACTGTTCATGAGTGAGGGGAAATGGAATGGGAGATCGATATATGGATTGGTGAGGCTGCCACTCTAAAGGGCTGGTTATACTCCATCAGCAGTGTGTCGCAGTGAGCTGGTTGGAGGTATGACGCAGATATTTTTTAATTAATGCCCAATTTTGAAGCGTGGTCTGTGCTATGTTATTCCACACCACAACGCAAGAGGGACAATCATGAACTAGCTGTGAGTCTAGATACGGCTGAGGTGTTGACGAAGTGGAAAAAAGCAAGGGATAAGTTTGTGCGACAATGAGGAACATGAGCGTGAAAAATAGGGGGGATCCAGGTGGAAAAAGGGTCCGTGCATTCTCGCGCACTTCGCTCTTCTAGCTGGTCCAACTTCACGAGTTGTTTTCTACAATGGCGGTCATACAAACCAGGTACAAAACAGGAGATGCATAATGTAGAGCGAATGTAAGTTGTAGATTTGACCAATCAGAGGGCTCCTGTCTGCAGCACTCTATGCGGTCACCTACAATTTTAGAGAGGTGCACCAGAGTGTCTGCGGAAGGGACGAGGGCATATCTGCGTTCACTGCGACACACGCAGATGACCTGGTTTTTAAGTATAAACCAGCCTTAATGCGGTCTGTTGTGATGAAGAGGGAGCTGAGCGATTTACTGGTTGGTCTATGCCCTCAACTATGGTCATGAAATCTGGATCATGAATGAAAGTTTGAGATCCTGGATACAAGAGGCTGAAATTTGCTTTTTCTGCAGACTGGTTGGGCACTCCCATAGAGATTAGGAGAGGAACTTGGTCATTCAGGAGAAGCTATGAGTAGAGCAGAATCTCATCCGAATCAAGATTATTCAGTTGAGGTAGCTCAGACATCTTTTGTTTTTGTTGCATGTTACATCAGGAGGAAACCTATGGAATGATCCAGGACACACTGGGGAGACAAGTTTCAAAGCATATGGATTATACTAGTTGGGCAGACTGACAGCTGTTCTTAAAACAGTAATTCCACCGTATTACTTTGCAAGATCTACTTTAAAACATAGCAAAAACTTTAACTAAAGCTTGTGGTAGTGTAGTAATGTGTAAATAAGAATAGGAATCATTAAAAGTGTAAAATGTTAACTCCTTATGAAAAACTGAGTAAATATTCAAATTGCAAACTTTTGTCCTTTTGATATCATAAAACCGACAAATTCCAAGTTCTGCTTTTTTGCTCCTGCAGCTGTGGATGACTTCAGTAGTAAATGCAAAAAAGTTCAAAAAACAATGCCCTAATAGTACAGTTCATGAAATAATCAGTTTACTCACCATTTTTCTGTTCATCTGTCAGCTGCTCAACCTGTAAAAGAAAAAAAAAATAAACAAAGGAAGCATTTAGATACACTAAACAAAATAACGTAGACCCTCCCTATTTTAGGCTTTCAAATAGTAATACCTTGAAATATTTACTGTGAAAGGACCTTATTTTTGGTAGCGAGACAAGAAATCTACAAATCTCACACCAGGCCTCAGTCCACTTCAGTCACAGTTGTTTTGAGAACTTTTTGATCAGGAGAGATGTTCCACAAACTTGATCCCCACTTGTTAAACCAGAGATGCTTTGTTAGGGGTAAGCAGGTACCTGGCTGGTAATTACACATTTTACACCAAACCAGTCTGATCGATGATCAACTGGAAGGAACCTAAAAATGTTACCTTTTTGCTTGTGGACACACATCATACCAAGTGTGAGCACTTTATCGAACAGAGGTTTTTACTGGGAAAGAGGAATATTTATTTTGAATATTATGTATGAATATTATGTTCTTTTTTTCTCTCTTTCATAGCCACATAATCTCTATAATACAGATGTCTAAAATAGATTTCCAATTGCTGTAAAAAGAGAGTTCAGTTTTAAATGAATAAAAGAAATATTGAAGCCTTTTGTTGTCATTATAGTTTTATAAGCACAACTGGGAATTAACTCAAATTGCATTGTTAGGGGAAAGTTTTACAAAAGTTGGCGTCTAGACATCAGCAAGATAATCTTTGATAGATGCTTCCGTAAATAAAACATGCAACTCATGTGTCATATGTGAACCCAGCAACATGAGGAGTTGAAAATGAACACAACATGTGAACCACATATAAATGAACCTGACATACAGTGTGATAAATTAGCATAGCTGTGGATATGACCCAACAATGGAGTAGTAATCCTACAAAAGCTACAACCAAAGATGGAGACAGCTGCTTATTTAAGAGTTATTATCTGTCTACTGCTGTAAATTAAACAACCATACGTTCAGATGTCCATTCCTAAACAAACACAGCCCTACAATGATGATATGTGAAATGATCTATCTAGCCAAAGACATGCATGTGTATTCCTGTGGGATTTTACTATAATAGAGACCCTGCTCTGCTGGGATGTGAGAGAACAAGACAGCCAGACCCACTGTCCTGCAGGAGGGGGTGGAAAGATAACAGCACAGCTTCACAGGATCACAGATAATGCTGGAATCCTGCAGAGGAGGGGTTTATCTAAACCTGAAGGCCCTCTGGCACCAGAGCTACCAAAATTAGCAATGGGATTCAGGGCTGGTCCATTTGAAGTAAAGAATGGGGTTTGCAGCATGATAAACAAGGATGTATCCTGTCACTAACCCCAATAAGTGGCTCCCAACTGCTCCAATATGGATAAAGATCAAAAGACATGTTTGATACCAGCTGGTGATGGAAGGGCTGCCCTGAACAGGCCAATTTAATAGTCATTTTTAGGATTTAACTAGCATCAGATAATTATAAAGATATGGGATTTGTTTTGGCTTATTATCAATCACAGAGTTATTTCAGCCTTTCACAGAATAAATTGAAAACGTACTACATTTAAGAAGTTTGATTTTAAACAAAATCACTAGCCTCCCAGATCAGATCTCACTGTGGGTTGAGGACCACCACCCAACAAAACCACATCGCTTCATCAGGAGCTGATTATATGCACATTGTAAAGCATATGAGCTGGGTGAGAGAACATACCGCTGCTTTGTAGATATCATTCATGCTGGCGGCTCGTCTGTTGCTGGTCCTGACAGTGTCCTGACTCAAACGAAGGATGAGGAGTCCAGCTCAGGGCAGGACTCCGGTCCCATCCTGGGAGGGTTTTATACTCAGAGTCTGTCCCTCCCTGGACAAAGCAGCCTCCCCTCATTGGGAGCCTCTAACATGTAAGTACACAAATGTGTGCCAATATGTGCCTGCATCAATGAGTCAATCTGTCACAATCACCAGGCTCAGATAAAAATGCAGCAGCTCTTAGGGGGGCACACTATGGAATGGAATGAATATGAGGAGAGCAGAGAGGCCATGCATGTGGAGCTCTAATCTCCAGAGAGTGGGGCTGTAGAGACACTCAACATTCCTCCAGAAACTGAGTGAGTAAATAAAAAAAAAGTTGTGACTGTTGATCCATGTAGAACTTTTCAGACTATGACAGGAGACTATGAGGAGTCATATAAGTAATATTGTACTTCAAAGCTATTCCATGATCAAAGCAAATTAAAATGCCTGCAGGGCCAAATCTAGCTCTGGTAAACACACTCAGAAATGCAACATGTTGAAGAAAGCAAATACATTCACAAAGCACCGTTAAAGGCAATCCATTAGACCAGAGACATTCTTGTGTCTTCTAAAAAAGGAGCAGATAGAGAACATGCTAAATTAAAGAATATATTTAAAAAGTAAAATACATGGTGTTTGCTTTTTCGTAAGAAACAGTTAATAACGCTCTCATTTCATTACAGAGTGAAGATTAAATTTAGAGAAAACCTTAATAAAGAAAATTGGGTACAATTTGTGATCAATAGCATTTAGAAAAGATTTAAATCATGCATATGTATTAAATCCTTTGAGAAAATTATTAACATTTCTGTTTATCTTTCTGTATAAGTTAGCAGGTTGATAGCAGGTCTTACCGCCTTAAGCTAAAAAAAACTTCTGAGAGACACTTGTTGTAGCCATAAACCAGTCACTGACATCCTTTGTAAAAAGTTTGTGGTTGTAGAAACAGCCTGTTTAACCCCAAAGGGACCCAGTGAGATCAAACTCTGCCCAGACAGGACCTCTTATTTTTAATTGCTTAGTCTGACCCTTGGTTAATTTTCATTACACAGGATGCAGTATAGCTCTGATAAATGGTATTCTATATTTAATTTTATGACACTATGCATTTAAATTAAGACCTTTCCAAATTGTGTAATTTACCCCTTTATGCTTTGCAGCATGTTTGAGGATTTCTTTTAGAGAAATTTACAGTCTCACCATGATAGGAACCTCCTTTAAATAAAACCATAAGATAATCTTATGGTTTTAATCCAGGTTTGCCTTGTGGTTTGGATGGGGGTCCAAAGGAGCTAGAAATCTTGTGTTGCTGAATAATGAACATTTTTGTAATTTAAGCTATTTGACGTATCAAAAAAAAAAAAAAATGACTTAAAAAAATACATTTCACAAATAAAGTCTTAATTTAGCTATTTTACTCTGTAACCTTGATATTAAGGAGCCAAATTACAGATTGGTTTGATAATTTCAGCTTTGATTTTTATTGCTTTTCATCATGTGCAACAAAGATACAGTCAGCAGATGGTGCTATGCACTACATGGAAGGATTATTGAACGGTTGCATGAGGCTGCCTCCAGATATGCAATTTATCAATAGTGGGGTAGGTGAGAAATCTGGGTCAAACAAACCAAACATGCACTTCACCTCAAGACTCTACTGTTTGTAGATTCTCCTGAATCTCCTGAAACAAGGTCATATCAATCACTTGACAGTGTGCATCTCATTTACCTTTACACTTTCGCTCCCAGAGAAATCCTTCACACACAGAGAGACACAGAGCACGCTGTGCCAGGCATCCTAAGAGATGAGTGAACATGCTGGTTTATAACGGGACACTAATGACACAGCTTACAAGCATCAAACAAGCCACTCAGAGGCTCACATTGAACAACATACATGTTCTACTCTGCATTATGAAAGTAGCAGGTCTCGTAACAAAGACCAAAGCATCAATGTATGTCAGTCACGGGCACAAGTTCCTGCTTGCATGGAAAAATAAATGGACTGGCAGAGAGGAGGTGAGCAAAAAAAGGGAAGGGGGGGCTTGCGGGGATCTGAAACTATTTGTGCCATTTGCCATGATTTTACACACAGGACACATTACACTGCGCTGCACGCAGCAATTTGAATTCAGAGGACTGAATCATCAATGGCATCGAATCAATCAGCTGAAATCTCAAAGCATACTGACGGGTCCACGCGGTCAGCCAAACAAATTCATTTTTGGAGAGCTGAGCGCAGTCTGGTTGGTTCCAAAAGTGACGCGCAGCTCTCGTGGCGACAGGGGGTCTTAATGTAAAGCTGTGGTGAGCCAGCTCTGCACATGCATGATGTTGAGCCTTTAGATTGGCACACAGATCAAAGAAAGCATATGGAGTGCTGTTTCGTTGGAGCTCTTCACCAATTTCCTCTTACAGGATAAGACTGACGAAAGAGCCAGCCATCTCCTCCACCAGCGCAATCAGACAGCGCATCTCAAATCCACAATTCACCGCACACCGCTTTTTGAGGGGTTGCCATAGAAACTCTGCCGGGTAGTAGCGGGCAGAAAATGAGAGGAGATGAACGGGGCTATTTCCCCCTCCACCTCCCTCTTTGCTTCGCCGCCACCACATTTTGTCCTCAGAGTGACTATATTATTTTCCCTTCTTCGCCTCTAATTTGCATGCGTCGGCACTGCAAAGTACAGTGATGTGTAATACAATCAGTGTTGACAACTGCCAGCTATGGATGTATAGTCACAGATCACATCTCTTTTTTCTATTGCTTGTATCTCCTATGAATTTCAAGTGGCATCTTTGTGATATTTGAAGTTTTTCGAAGAACGCTCATTGTGTTGGTCACCTGATTGAAGAGGTTTATTCCATGTAATAAACAGTAGTTGAAAGAGAACAGTACATTTCAAATGCTTTACGTGAGCGTTGACATCTCGAGATGAAAAATTTCTGATCAGCAGAACTACATTTATGAAAAGAAAGACACTGCACAGCACCCATCATGCCAATTGAAATGGTCATGTGATGTAATGATTGGGTTGACATGCAGCTGAGCTTGAAGCTTCTCTCTTCTCCTCCCCTCTGTGTCCTCACCTCCTTGATTGCTATGGATGGTGGGGGTTGGTTGAGGGGGGGGGGTGCTGTCAGCTTCCTTTTCTTTCTGTCTTCTCTTTCCCTCCTTTCCTCTCTCTCATTCTGTTCTCCCCTTCCCCTGCCTCCTTTCATTGATGACCAACCTGTCAGAAACTCCTGTTGTGGCAGGCCGAGGGTGTGTGTGGCTGAGTGATACAGTATTCTGTCCAGAGCATCTCTCCTTTGCAGCCAGGTCTGATTTTTAACAAAGAAATCTGTGTTTTTCATCAGCGACAATGTCTAACCCAAATTTATAGACGTGTCTTTAGAGATGATGGGGAGATTTCTTCGCTTTGTTTCACCAGCCTCCATGGTTCCTCTTTGACATTCTTTTTGTTGAGGCATTTGGCAGTGTTGAGGCAGTGTTACACACTGTTCCTTAAATCAGGGCTCCAATGAGCCAGTAGCCATATTAGCTCCAGCGTACATACAGCCGCGCACTAACTTTCAGCCAGGGGGCTGCAACATTTTCCAGTCCACTGAACCACCAAGTGACCTACCACCCTCCCTTTATCCCCCTACTGAACCTCTCCCCACCTAGGAAATAGTGCTCAAATAGATTTCTTTTTCAGATATAGCTGTTAGACAAGGTCCCCTTAAAGCTAAAGAGATTTTTTTTCCCTTCTACATAGCAGCAAAAAGGTTGTATCTTTATAAGGTATTGTTAAGAGATTAGTCATTTGTCAAATGTCTGGTATATATTTTATCTTTTAAGGGGATACTAAAGAACACATTTTCTGTCTTTTTGCTCAGTCTGATAATATTCTTTTTACCAAAAACAAACATACCAAAATGGTCTCTCTGCGCATGTTAAAGATGTTTCTGGAGTTTAAATTGTCAAAGTCTCAGGACTCAGCAGGCAGCACCGAGCAGATTACTGCCGGTCCTGCCTTCTCTGCTCTCTCCGTTCTCCGCAGGTGACTGTAGGCAGTTGGGTGTGGGTCATACCTGCAACTCGTTTGGCGCCATTGTTTGGGAGCATTTAAGTGGCGGTCTGACAGTTAGAGGACACCAGAGTGTTAACCTAGTGTGGTATGCCTAAGTTGGCCACTGTCTTCTGACAGCTCTCCAGTTCCCAGGGTGATCCTTGCCTCCTGTATCTCTCAGGTTACCTCACGCTTTGAAGCCCTCCCTCTCACCGCTCTGTATCCCATTCCTGAGTTCCCCCTCAAAACCAAGGCGTCCCTTGTCAAGTCTCTTTCCTCTCTCTACTGGGATTCCACCCCAAGGCCCCCTGTTTTCAATTTGGGCTGAGGACATCATCAGATCTCCCCGGTTCATCTAGCTACCCACAGACCACTCCTCCAACCACCGGTGCTGCTCGGACCCCACTCCAACTCCACTGGCCCACCCACCAGCCATTTAGTCACTCATGCCATCACTGGGAGTCACTCACTGATTCCGTCTCTCTGCTCCACTCTCCCCAGTTAGGGTTCCGTGCTCTCGCACCTTCCGTTCACTGAGGGCTGTCTAACCCCCTACCTCTCGATCGAATGAGCCCCAGTCACGCGTCTCCTTTTGTTGCTCCTTCATCGTGGTTTATCCAGATATTCACCCCTGTTTACTGTGTGTTATAATAAAAGCCTTAAACTGCTCTTTACCCCCCCCCCCCCCCCAAGTGTGATCTGTCGAAACCATGACACACTGCAAGTCAGCTTTGTCTGTGGCATCCTATTTGTCTGAAATACTGAGTTAGAATTACACAATTTATGCTATGTTTTTGTGTGAAGTTATAATTAAACTAGGCTTTACATTGCTGTCAACATCACCACAGTCCACTGTTTGGCTATCATTGTGGTCCCTAAAGAACTGAA